TCTGATAGAATACATGGAATTGTTTCAATCTCTTTGTATTTATTGAGTTTTGTTTTGTGCCCCAATATATGGTAGATTTTGGAGAAGGTTCCATTGGGTGCTGAGTAGAAAGAATGTCCTTTGGTGCTCAGGTGGAATAATAGGTAGATGTCTATTAGGTCCATTTGATATATGGTATTGTTTAATTCACATGTCTCTCTGCTAATTCTCTGTCCTCTTTACCAATGTAATGGAGACAATGGGGTACTGAGGTCCCCTACTATTAAGGGGTGGGATTATTATGGGTCTTAAAGTCCTATAGTGCTGTTTTTATGAAGTTGGGTGAACCAGAGTTTGGTAACTACATGTTCATTATTATAATATCTTCTTGGTTTATTGTTCCTTTGATCAGAATGAAGTTTCCCTCTTTATCTCTTCTGATTATTTTTGGTTAAAGGCTGTTTTATCAGATATTAGAATTATAATGCCTGCTTTTTTCTTAGTACCAGTCACTTGGTATATTTTTTCCATCCTCTCACCTTAAGGTAGTGTCTGTCCTTGAAAGTGGGATAAGTTTCTTACAGACAACAAAAAGATGCATTTTGTTTCTTAATCCATTCAATTGTCTGTATCTTTTGACTGGGGAGTTCAACCCATTGATATTTAAAGTTATTAATGAAAGATGAGTATTGAATCCTGTAATTTTTATTTCTGTTCATATTCTTGGTATAGCTGTGCATTTCCACAGTTATATCTTCATTTAATTTCTTTCCATAACCCTTTGCATATAGTCATTCCTTTCTTCAGCTTTTGGTATTTCTTAAAGAACTCTCTAATGGGCTGATTTTGTGGACATGAATTCTTTTAGTCTGTTTATATCATGGAAGATATTTTTTTCTTTCCCCTTCAACTATAATAGACATTTTTACTGAGAAACTAATATTGGTTGGCATCTGTGGTCATTTAGAAATGTGAATACTTTGGTCTATGCTCTTCAGGCTTTCATAGTTTGTCCTGAAAAGTCAGCTGTAATCCTAATGGGTTTTCCTTTATATGTGACTTGTTTTTCTTTTGAAGCCTTCAGTATTGTCTCTTTGTTC